CAATGGACTCCGTTTTGTTCCGTGATACCCCTCTTTATCCCTGATCATTTTCGTCAGTCTGAAGTCTGCTTTGTCTGAAATTGTTTGAGCTACCGCATCTTTCTTTTGATCAGTGATAGCGTGGTATATCTTTCTCCATCCTGTTTCTCTTATTATATCTGTGCCTTTTTATTTAAAGTGGATTTCTTATACACAACGTCTAATTAAGTCTTATCTTTTCATCCGCTCTGACAGTCTATCTTTTAATTGGTGCAGTTAGACCACTGACTTGGAAGGTTTCTGTTGATATACTTGGATTAATGTCTACCATATTAGTTACTGTTTTATATTCATTGTTCTTTTTCTTGGTTTCTTTTTTTTGTCTTCCACTCATTTGCTGTCTTCTCTGGTTGTAAAAAAGAATTTTATGTGATTCCATTCTTTTCTCCTCTCTTGGCATATCAACTGTACTTTTATTTTTTCTTTCATCTTTTTCAGTGGTTGCCCTGGAGTTTGCAATGTACATTTAAAAATCATCCAAGTGCTCTTTCAAAGAACAGTGTACTGTTTCATGGCTAGCACAAGTGCCTAATAACACAGTATTCCCAATTCATTCCACCCATCCGTTAGAGCATTACTGTCATTCATTTCACTTATCCATAAGCTGCTTATCCAAATCCATTATTGCTACTATGGTTTTGAACTGTTATCAGTTGGATCAATCAAGAAAAAGACAAATAAATTATTGTATTTGAATTCATTGCTTCAAAATGCTCTTCCTTTCTTTGTGTAGATCCCAGTTTCTGACATATCATTTTCCTTTGTTCTGAGGAATTTCTTTTAACATTTCTTGCAAGGCAGGCCTACTGGTGACAAATTCCTTCAATTCTTATTTGTCTAGGAATGTTGTCTTTTTCTCTTGCTTATGAAGGATAATTTGCCGGATACAGAATTCGTGGTGGGTGGGGTGTTTTTCTTATACTCCCTTCTCTTCTTGCTTGCATGGTTTCAGAGAAGTCTGATATACCTCTTATCCTTACTCTTCTCTGGGTAAGATATTTTTCTCTCTGGCTTCATTTAGGCTTTCCTTTTGTCTTTGATTTTCTGCATTTTGAATATGATATTCTTTCCTAGGTGTGTGCATTTTGGTATTTTCCTGGTTGGTATTCTCTGAGCTTCCTGGATCTGTGGTTCAATGTCTATAATTCATTTCAGGGGATGCTGGCCCCACGGCCAAGTGGTTAAGTTCACACGCTCCACTCGGCAGTGCAGGGTTTCACTGATTCAGATCCAGGATGCATACATGGCACTCCTCATTAAACCATAATGAGGTGGCATCCCATATGCCACAACTAAAAGAACCCAAACTAGAATGTACAACTATGTACTGGGGGGATTTGGGGAGAAAAGGCAGAAGAAAAACAGAAGATTGGGAACAGTTGTTAGCTCAGGTGCCAATATTAAAAAAAAAAAAAACCTTTGGGTGGAAAAAACTAAAAAATTTTTTAGGAAATTCTCAGTCATTATTGCTTCAAATACTTCTTCTGTGCTCCTTCTGATAGTCACATTACACATATTTACGCCTCTTGTGATTGTTCCTTAGTTCTTGCATAATCCCTTCCTTTTCATTCTTTTTTCTCTTTGCATTTCAATTTCAGAAATTTCTATTGATATTTGTCCAAGCTCGCAGGTTCTTTCCTCAGCCGTGTCCAGAGTATTGTTGAACCTCTAAGGCACTCTTCATTTCTGTCCCAGTGTTTTTCATTTCTACCATCTCCTTTGGATTCTTTCTTAGAGTTCCCATCTTTCTACTTACCTTAGCCATATGTTCTTGCATGCTGTCCACCTTTCCCTTTGGAGCCGTTAGCATATTAATCACTGTTGCTTTAAATTCCTGGTCTAGTAATTCCACCATGTCTGCCATATTGGAGCCTGGTTCTAATGCTTATTTTCTTTCTTCAAACTGTGTTTTTTTTGTCTCATAGTATGTCTTTTAATGTTTTGTTAAAAGCCAAACATGATATACTGGGTAAAGGATTTGAGGTAAGTAGGCCTTAGTGTGAAGTTTTGTCTTTATCTGGCTAGGGGTTAGGCTGGGTTTCCTGTTTATTGTAGCTGTAGATGTGAGAGGCCTAAATCTCCTCTGGAATTCTTGGTTTTGTGTTCTCAGCTGTCTTGAGTGTCCCTGGTGATTTCTGCTTAAATGAGGCCTGAGAACTTGCAGTTCTTTCGGTTGTATCCTTTCAGTTATATTCCCCTGTTATCATATAGGATCCCTAAGGATGTGCTGGTAAGGTGTGTGTGTGTGTGTGGAAACATTCTGTAGTCCTATGATCAGGGCTCAGTCTTTGAGTCAGCCTGTGTCACTGGGCTGTGGCCTTCACAAGAGCTTCTCAGGGTTCACCTTCCTCCTCCCCTCGATGGAAAAGGAAGGCTAGAGGGGCCGGGATTGGGTATTTCCTTTCCCCAAGGTCAGTTGGGATGTGGTAAAATCCCAGTTGGTTAGGCTCTGGTCAAATAGTTTCTTTGAGAGCAGGCTTTGTCAAGAAAACAAAATGCTCTGGCTGTATCTGCCAGTAGCTACTTTCCTCTCACTCTGCCAGAGGCGTAAGGAGATTTTTCTCTAGTCTTCACTGTGAGACACTGATAGGGCTCCTGGACATAAAACTCTCCAGAACTCTTGGGTTTCTCCCACGACTGGGCCCCCTGATGCTTTTAACTCAAACTTCTCCACACTGAGTCTCCAGCAATAAGTCAATTACATGCTAAGTTTTCCTACTCTGATCCTGGCTCCTGCCTAGGTTTCTGTGTCAATAAGTTGTAATTCTCTTTGTTTGCCTAGCCTGTCTGTATCTCCAGTTTTGGGGGCAGTGGTTTGCTCTCTGACCTTCATTCTCTGATGGATCTAAGAAGAGTGGTTGATTTTCAGTTTGTTCAGCTATTTTCTTGTTGTGAGGACAGGAGTGATGACTTCCAAGATCCTTACATGTTGGACCAGAAACTGGAAGTCTCCTTAGACGTCTTGAGGGGAGACTGAGAGGATTGTTTATGGTCTCTTTAGAGAAAGTTCCCACTGTGCCTGAGAGCCAGCTTTATGTCAAGACAAATAATACAGTTGTAGAAGTCCAGAGAGAATCTGGACAAGTACATGGTGATCTTGGGAACAAAAGACATTTCTAACATTTTTTCCGGTTTCACATAGAGCATGCCATCCGGGAAACTGTGTCTGATGGATCGTAAAAACAAGAAAGGGCATTCGTTTAATACAAATAAGAGACCTTTCAGTACGATTCTCTCAGTGTATCCTGAAATTGTACTTGGGTATTTATGTCTTCATGACTAGACAGGCCATTGTGTTTACAATGGGTGGCATGGAACTCCTTAGTGCCTGCTGGACATTTCTGGATGTGGAATTTCTGAATTTTTCTGCAGAAAATCATGCAGAGGAGGAGAACAAAGAAGAAAAAGCATCAATGGACCCCAGGTAACCCGGAATGATCAGGCCCTGGAAGAGGATGCGTAAAATAAGAGGATGGTTCCCAAATAAAGACCAAGAGGTCAACACTAGCCACAGATTTCTAAGGCAAAAGTGACAGAAACTGCTGGTTGAATTATTCCATTCACTTAACCAATCAGGAAATAGCCTTCTAAAAAGGTTGTCATTTGCTTTTGTGGTACTTGTCATTCTTATGTAAGGGAAATTAACCAGTCTCGGGGAATTTGTTGTAGTCACAGAATCCATCTGTTCTCTCCTCTGTGGCTAAACCTAAGATGAGATGGATATGTGCTTTCTGCATGGTGGACTTTAGCTTCTTGGCATGCATTTCATAGCAAGAAATGTAATTAGACCAAAACAATCATGTCCCGTCACAATATTGATAGAAAGAAGTCTAGAAGGCACAAGGTCTCTGGGCATCTACAATGTGTCAGGAACGTGTATTCCTTGGGTGGCAGTATGTAAAATTCAACACCATTTCTGCACACGGTTGAGCCACTGTTCTGGTTCTCTGTGTCTGCTGAGTGCCATTGCTGTACCATACAGGTAGAGTTGATTCTCCTTCCTCATTGAGTGCTATCTGGCCAGTTTACTGAGCGCCCACTCCCCTCTCTCCTGCCCTCAGGGGCAGCCAGACCATGCTCTCAACATAGGAGGATTGTTTTCTTTCTCTTTGAGGGGACTGTCCCTCACTTTCTGTGACCACTCTCTCTACCACCAATCAGGACCACCTGGGACTCTGGCATCCAACCCTTCTTGGTTTCATCATATCCTTTTTCCCCTAGCCTGAGCACAGAGCTACAGGAAAAAGAGAGTGTGAATGAAGCCCTGAAGGGGTCAGTGGATGAAGGCCCTGTGACTTCTTCCAGTCACCAGTACCCGTCTGGTTCTCACGAGCCTCCCAGCACCAATGTCTTCTTGTCTGAGGAGCACGAAGACTTCTCTGCTCTGGTTGCAGCTACTGAGTACTCCCATCAACAGGAGAAGAAAGCTCCAACAGGTCTCCCAGGTAGTGTCCATATTCATGTTCCCCACATCCCTGTCCAGGTCAAGATATGTCTTCTCTTCAGTCTGGCCCTGGAGACTTAACTTGGTTTGAATCAGAATCTAGGACTCAGTTTTAAGCATACACATCAGGTGGGTCAGGTAGTTCAACACTCTTCCGAGTCCCAGGCCAAATCTCTGCCATCCCCGTTACCATGCCTGCTCCGCTCCAAGCAGCAGTCTCTGTCTCTTCTAAGTTGGTTTATCCTCAGTAGGGAGCCATCTAAGTGTCAAAAGATAAACACCTCTTGAATGTGTCTGGAATTTTCCCTGAATGCGTGGTGTGAACCCTGGCACCCTCCACCACTTTGAATAGCAAGAATCCTGTTCTCTAGGTGGCACCATAGATTCTTTCCTATTTATGAGTGAATAAATTCCATCCATCAGTCTAGTCTTGGTGTATAACTTCATCCAAACCAACAGCAGCCAGCATATCTGATGGAGTAAGAGCTGAATCTTGCCACAGCCTTTCCAGAAAGCAACTAGATGAGCTCCTCATGACCTCGGGGAGAATATGTTGAACTCTTTGCCCAGGTTCAGGGAAGAGAACCTTGTTGTATTGATCTGCCAATTCAGAGACAGTCTGCCCTATGACTCAGGAAAGGAAGCCTGGTCACTTTTCAGAAGACACAACCCGTGGCCTCCTGGAATATCCTGAGACTATCCTGTTCTCACACTGAGAAGACTTACATCCCTGTGTTTAAACAGGCCCCTGGGTTGGTAATGCGTCAAGAAGCAACTTTTTATTATGACTGGCCCTGTCCAAATTTATTTGCAGAAACTCAAAAAGATCAGAAGGATGAGGAAAGAGATGAGCCAACAGCCCCCAGGTAACTGATAATCCTGGTTGTGAAAGCAATGGTGACATCTGAAGATCTCAAATCCAGGGAAAATTAGAAAGTACCAGTAGACCTATTTCATCCCATCAGACTACCACGAATTACCCCTTTTAAGAATGCTGTCTGTTTTCTTGAGACTTGTCCTGTTAGTTTCCACTTGGTATTAATTTCTCAAGTTTAGGAACCTAGAGTCAGCTTGACACAAGGGAAACTAACCAATCTTAGAGATTTCCTGCACTCAGGGAGACCACGTGTCCTCTCTCATTTGGGGAAAACTAAGATAAGATACATAACTTCAGTCTGCACATTTGGCCTGTTTAATGGTGAGGATTTCATAGCGTGACATATAGCTAGACAAAAATGTGTATGTGATATTACAGTATTGAGAGAAACAGGCCTAGAAGGCACAAAATGTCTGGGAGCCCACAATGCCCCAGGAGCCTTTACTCACTGGGCCTCTGTAAGAAAAGTGGAACAGAAGTTATGCTTTGGAGTTGTAGGAACTCCTGTGGTTCTCGTTGTGTGCTCTGTGTCATGACTGTGGCATAGAGGAGAGCTGAGTCTCCTTCCTCATTAACTTGTTATCTGGACAGGGCAGTGAGCACCTGCTGCCCTCCCTCCCCTGACCACGGCAGCCTCACTTAGTTGCAGTCATAGAAGGACTGTTATATTCTTCCTATTTCAAGGGATGCCCTCTTTACCTTCTGTGACCTCTCCCTTAGTCTTCCAATCAAAGCCAGTTGGGAAGTTGCAGTGTCCAGTCTTTCCTTGTTTAATATTCTGTTATGTTTGTGCCTCTGGGCTCGGTAGGGAGCTCCAGGAGGAGGAGGAAATGAATGATACGTGTCAGGATTCTTTGGATGAACAGTATTTGACTCTTTCCAGTCACCATGACTTGTCTGACTCCTGCCACCCTCCAGACAGTCCCACCATCCCATCTGATGAGCATGAAATCTGCTCTTGGCTGGAGCGAGCCCGTGAGTACTCTATTGTAAAGAGGACAAGCTCCGAATGGTCTCCCAGGTAGCCTCCATGTTCTTTGTGCTCACACCTCTGTCCAGGTACAGAAATGTCTCTTTGATGGCAGACCTTGGAGGCCCATCTTGGTTTGAATCAGAATCTAAGATTCATTTGAAAGCACAGACATCGGGTGGGTCAAGTAGCTGTACACCCTTCCAAGTCCCAGATCAAATCTCTGTCACCCTGGGACCCAATGCCAAGCACAGGGTGGTGAACACCAGGTAAACCAGAGTGGGGAGATTGAAGAGATCATAACACACTTCCAGCCACCACTGATGCTTGTGCACAACAGGAGTTTCCATGAGCTCCTTCTATAAAGATGGGCCCTCTGATCTCTCCTGTAATTTTTTCCTAATTGAGTTCCTGAACTGAGCATTAATGACTGTCCAAGTAGGGTGGTAGTCTTGCCTATCTCTTTGGAGATGTTGTTACCATGGTTCCTCAGCTCTGGACTCTGGTCTCTCTCACCTCTGAGATACCTTGTCCTTGCTAAACAGTCAGCTGAGGAACAAGGCAAAGATACCTCTGTCTTTCCATGTCTGGAGTTTTCGCTGAAATTAAGGCATGGGCCCTGGTGCCCCCACCTCTATGAATCACCCAGGATCCTGGCCTCTCAAAAGCACCAAATACGCTTTCCGACGTGGGGTGTATGGATTCCATCCATCAGTCTCGTCTTGGTGTATAATCCCACCTATCTCACCAAAGACCAGGGTGTCTGCTGAGGCCAAGCTGACTCTTTCAGCAACACCTATTGAAGGCTGCTGACATGCTCCCTGTGATCTTTGGTGAAAAAAGACGTATTTAACTGTTTGCTCGATTCAGGGCAGAGGATATGGGGGTGATGATCTACCAGGGCTGGGTCAATGTCTGACTAGACATTTCTGAATTTGTTTGCAGAAAATCATGAAGACGAGGAGTATGTAGAAGAGAGAGAACCACTGTCCAAAATTAACGATCAGGGGAGGGTAAAGGACAGGTAAAGTATGGAGAGGGTCCTAGAAAGATCAAAGAGTGCAAAGGTGACCACATCTGTGATGTGATGGTCACCCAAACCTGCAGATTGCACTCCTGTCATTCCCTCAACCAACAACGACATAGCCCTCTTAATGGGGTTGTGCAGTCTCTTTCTGGTACTTGTAGAGTTAGTCTGAACCAAGGTGAACTAACTACTCTCATGGATTTCCTGTACTCACGGACATCACGTGTCCTCTCACGGATGGTTGGTTAAAAGGCAGGGTGAGATTCATATCCGCTTTCTGCAGAGTTCATCTGAGGTCGTTGGCAGGTATTTCACAGCAAGGAAGGTAACTAGACCCCACAAAATCGTATTATGTTAAATACTGAGAGAAGGTGGCCTAGAAGGTACAAGAACGCTGGAGTCGGCAATGCCTCGGGAGCTGGTATTGCCTGGCCGCTGATGTAACTTTCAAAAATATTTATGCATTTGCCAAACATGTCCCAAAATTCTGTTTTGAAGGCAAATGGGGGATGTTCTCATAGAAACCTCTGTGGAGGTCCTAAGAACCTTTGACTCAATTCCAATTCTACATTTTCCCTTCTAACCCACCATAGGGAGTTTGATTTTCTAATTCGAGTTCAGGCACGAGAGCTGACCCAGTTACGCCTACAGACACGGGAAGGAAGAGAGCTATCCGTCCTGCTTAATCAGAACCTCAAGGACCTCCTGGGCCGCAGTGACCTTAACAACCTCTGGGGGCAGGCCTTCCAAGAGCAATTGGCTGAGGGATGCAGGCTGTCCCAGGCCCTTGTCAGCAAGCTCAGCCCAGGTAAGGCGGCCACAGGCCCTGATTGCGCTGAGCCCTCCAAGGTCCCCGGCTCACAAGAGCCTCCACTTCTCCCCTCATAATGTTTTTGCCATCTCTCCTGGTTTCCACATCACACTTGGGGTCATGACAGGACCAGGAGCGGCTGGGTGGGAGCACAGAGAGGAGAAACGTACAAGGTGGAGGTGATAGTGTTCGAAGTGCCTGCTTCCTCCCTGATGGGCCATGGCCCTTGGGACAGGGGGCAGCCTCCACCCAGTGTTAGAGCACAGAAAGGCAGACATGATAGGAGGCAGCTAGTTAGGCTGAAAAGGGCCCTGAGCTAAGCGTGGACGTTCCCAGGCTCCAGCCTGAGTTCTGTCTTTTCTAACAGTGGGCGAGGGACGGATGTATCCTTCCTGGATTTCAGTTTCTTCATCTCTAACGTGACTAACACATGTGTTGCATGGTAGCTGTAGCATTCCAATAGGGAATGTCTATGAGTGTACTTTCACAATGCTAGAGTCACTCACTGGGGTTGATTTCAGTACTGGGTATGGTAGAATCTGGTAGTGGGATGTGGGTTTACACTAGAATACTTAGCACTTAACGAGGAGAGAATTTTCCTGGTGAACGGTAGACGCAGACGTGGAAGTCCCCACGAAGGACCAAGTCATGTGAGACTCGTGGGACAGAATTGTTTTTCCTCTCCTGAGAGAAAGGAGGAGGTTCTCTGTGAAAGGCATGATGAGACACAGAGTCACTGAGCTTGGGAACCAGCCTTGTGGCAGGAGGGAGGAGCCCCTAGGAAACCTGGAGAAGCATCTCTTGATCTGGGTAACAAAATCAATTTTTAACTCCTTGCTCAGTTCCACCCAGAGCATGCCACCTGGGACCCATCAGATCAGGGCCACTTTGCCTGATCCATCAGAATACCACGGCAGCCCATTTCTTTACAGACAAAACATGACACCTTTCTGAACTCATGTAGAGATAATTCGTGTCTCCAGGCCCAGAGAGGCACCTGCATTTGTAACGGGTGAAGTGGAACTAGCTAATGTCTAAATGGACTTTTCTCAATTTCTTTGCAGAAATCCATGAAGAGGAGGCTGAAGAACAACTGGGATCACTGACCCCCAGGTAACAGTGAAGGATCAGAGGAGGGTAATGTGCAAGTCAAATGCAGAGAGGGCTCTGGAAAGAACAGACGCAGAGGTCAAAAGTAGCTGCTTTCCTGAAGCAAGGAGGCGCAAAACTGGCTGATTGTGCTGGTCTCCTCCACTTCCCCCATCTGGATCGTCCATGTTCTTTGCAGCATGTGGAGTCTGTCTCACTCACAGTGAGGTAACCAGGCCTAGAGACGTCCTGCCCCTTCAGAGATGTCTTCTTCTCCTCCGGAGGGTCAAAACCCAGAGTAAGGTCCATACCTGCTCTCTGCATGTGGGCCTGAGCTTGTTGGCAGGTATTTCATGACAAGGAAAGTCATCAGACTAAATAAAAATTCATATTTTGTCTCAACCTTTAGAGAAGGAGGCCTAGAAGTTACAAGATCTCCTAGAGTCTCCAGTGTCTCAGGAGCATGCTTTTACTGGGTCACTGTGTATAAAATGCAAAAGGAAAGAAGAAAAAATGTGGTCCACCAAAAATGAGCAGATTTCTACTTGGAAGGCCTTTTGGGGATATTCTCACAGAAATCTCTCTCAAACTCCCTATCATCTCTCATTACCCCATTTCCACTCTGAGGATTTCTCTTCCCTCCCACCTTAGGAAATACCATTTCCTAATTCATGATCATGCACGAAAGCTGACCCAGATACGCCAGACGTCACGGGAAGGAAGAGAGGTCTCTGTCCTCCTCCATCAGCACCTCAGGGACCTCCTCACCCACAGTGACATTGGCAGAGACTGGGGACAGGGCTTCCGAGAACAACTGGCTGAGGGATGCAGGCTGGCAGAGCGCCTTGTCTGCAAGCTTAGCCCAGGTAAGGCGGCCACAGGCCCTGATTGCACTGAGCCCCTCCAAGGTCCCTGGCTGACAAGAGCCTCCGCATCTCCCCTCATAATGCTTTCGCCAGCGGTCCTGGTGTCCACATGGCACTTGGAGCCATGACAGGACCACGACTGGCTGGGTGGGAGCAGAGGGGAGAAATGCACAGAGGGACGTCATAGTGCTCCAAGAGTCTGCTTCCTCCCTGAGGGACCGTGCCCTTTGGGGCAGGAGGCAGCCTCCACCCGGTGTCACAGTGCAGAAAGGCGGATGTGATAGGAGGCAGCTTGTAAGAGTGAAAAGAGTCCTGGACTGAGCGTGAGCTAACCACAGGCGAGTGATTGATTTCTCCTTCCGGGATTTCTGTAAAATGGGTCAAAAGACGTGTTGCATGGTAGCTGTAACTATTAAAGAAGGGAATGCTCATGAATGTACTTCAGAAAAGGATGATACTCCTAACCGTTTGGGGTTTATTTAGTTATAATCCTAAAATGTGGGGGCAGATACGTTGATTTGAAATAGAACACTTTCCACAAAGAAAATTTTCCCCTCTTCTGCTGTAAAAGACAATTTGGAGTTCCCCTGAAGTCCCGGGATGTGTGGAGGGGTGAGTCATGGGGTTTTTTATCCTCCTTTTAGGGAAAGGAGTAGGGTCTATGTGGGAGTTCTGAGTGGACATAGAGTCACTGAGACTGGGAACCAGCTCTGTGGAAGGAGTGAGGAAAGAACTAGAGAATTCCAGAGGGAAACTGGAAAAGTACCCGCTGATCTGGAGACAAAAGATATTTGATCTTTGCCCAGTTAAACTCAGAGCATGCCATGATGGGGATCCAGCAGATCAAGGACATTTTGCCTGATGGGTCAGTAGACCATCCCAGGCCATTCCTTCAAAGTCAAACATGGGGCTGTCAGTACAATTCTCTCAGTGTGTCCTGACCTCATACACAGGTCATTGCTGTCCATGCCCAGGCAGGCCTTTGTGTCTGTACTATTTCATCTCTGTCTGGACATTTCTGAATTTTGTTTGCAGAAAGCCTGGAAGACGATGAAGATGAGGCAGAACAAGAATCACTGACCCCCAGGTAACAGTGAATGAGGAGGGCTAATAAGCAAGGGTAAAATGTGGGGAGAGTACCTGAAAGAAAGACCCTGAGGGCCAAATAGCCCCAGGTTTCACATGCCAGGGGGAACCAGCACTGCCCCTGGTGCTGATTTCAGTCACTCCAGCAACGATGGCAAAGCCCTTTGAACGAGGTTGTCTGTTGTCTTTGTGGTACTTGTAGCCTCAGTCTGACAAGGGGAACTAAGCAGTCTCAGGGATTTCCTGCCCTGAAAGAAATCCCTTGTTCTCTCTTGGAAGGCTAAAACAAGGATGAGATGCATGTCTGCTTTCCCAACTGTTGGCCTTAGGTCCTTCATAGGTATAGCATAGCCAGAAAGGATCTAGACAAAATTAAAAATAAATAAATAAATAAAAGGTCACGGTATTGACAGAAATGGCCTAGAAGGCACAAGATCTCTGGGAGTCCACAATGCCTCCGAAGCCTGCATTCACTGGGCTGCCATATGTAAGTTCAACACAATGTATTCACAAACTGGAAGCCATTGTATTGGTTCTCCGTGTGTGATGAGTCTGCCTTACAGGGAGAGTGCAGGCCCCATCATCATCTCACTGTCTGTCCAGTGCACTGAGCATGTTCTGCTCACTCTCTTTTTTCTCTCTCTCCCTCTCTCCTGTTCCAGGACAGCCAGGCTTTGCCCCAGTCCCTTGGACCCTACCCTTCAATCAGAACCAGCTGGGATACTGTGGTGTCTAATCCTTCTTGATCTCTTCTTTTCTCTTCCCTCTCTTACCAGTCTGGAGAGGGAGCTGCAGGAGAAGGAGATTGCGAAGGAAATCCTTCAAGATCCATCAGGTGAACAGAATTTGACTCCTTCCAGTCCTCGTGATCTCTCTGCCTCCGGGGAGCCCCTCAGAAGCACTGCCTTTCCGTGTGATGAGCCTCAAGTCAGCTTGACTCTGGAGGCAGCCAGTGAGTACTCCCTGTATAAAGCAGATAAATCCAAGTGGTCTCCCAGTTAGCCTCCATATTTTTTAAGCTCACCACGGCTGGCCAGGTAGAGAGATATACTTTCTGCAGGCTCTTGGACCGAGTTTTAAGTACAGATTTCAGGAGGGCTTGGGAGCTGTGCTGTCACCCTAATCCCTAGCTATGTCCCTCTCAGCCTGTCCCTCAGTGGCATCTGCAAGCCATTTTTCCCCAGGTGGGAGAGAGAAGGGATCATGACCACCTCACAGCCACCACTACAGCAGGGTCACAGTAGGTATTTGTCAGACCTCTTTCTTTAAGATGACGCATCTCATCTCCCGCAGTGTTCTAGCTAATTGCATTTCCTGAGCAGTGTCTCCCACTTGTCTCTGGCCATCCACACGTGGAACAGTTTTACTCAATTATTCTGGAGCTCTGTTCTCATGATTTGGGGTTCAAAGCTGATTCTCTACTTCCTCTGGGGTGACTACCTCCCTCTGAAGATTTAAAAACGAGATCCTGGATGCCGCATCCTGCCTGTGCCGCTTGGTTTCAATGAAGCCAAAGCTCTGGATCTGGTTTCCCCTCCTCCATAAATGGCCATGGGTTTCATCCTTTGTGTAGGCTCAGTGACTTCTTCCATGTGTGGGTTAGAGCTTCAAGCACGAGTCACGTCTTAGTGTTCTAATCTCATGTAAATGTCAACAACCAGTGTGCCTGATAGGACCCTTGTCTTACTTATGAGCAAAGAAGAACATGAGGCCACAGGACAGAAGGACTACAAAGGCATGGGGAGGAGTCTGCATGTGTAGAGTTGGACCATGATGCGAACAGGACTCCTGGGTGATTAGATTATTCAGACGTTTGATCGTGTGGAGATGACAGGATCAGAGAAGCAGTGGGAGATTCATGGATCCAGGCGTTAATGATGAGGTCTCATAGAGTGTGTTGTCAGGAATCTACATGGTAACACCATCCCAAACGATATTTTTACGAAACATTTAAAACAAACATTGGTGGCAATGAGGATGTGCAGAGGGGAGGAGAAAGGGGAACCCACAGTGGTGTGGAGAAGGCCCTGGGGGTTATGATCTGCCTTAGCCTGAGCTGGACTGGTCTGAGGCTATTTCAGGTCTTTGGTTAGCCCTCTTTCTGAGAATAGATTTTCATTTCACAGAAGAAATAGAAACATGTTTGATTAGGGACTAAAGCCCAGACCCCCCAGAAGAGTGTGTAACATAAGGACTGTGCACCATATTACGTCCCTGAAGAATCACACAAAGCCTCATACTGTAGCACCTCTGGCCCCTAAGTTTCTTATAAGGGTCTCAGACCTCTGCTACATTACTTACAGCTGCTACTACCTGTCTCCACCTCCCAAGTGGCAAAAGAATGTATATATGTGTGGGTGGGTGGAGGGCAGCCAAAACTTACAGAAAAGGAAGGTCAAAAGGCTCCAGAACTTTGCAAAGATTCCAAACTTGGTCTACAGTTTCCCAACTCCCTTCTTACTGGAAACAGAAGCCTTGGGACCATACTTCTTCCCTTCCTCTGATATTCTTCTGGGTAGACATCAGCAACTCTTTCTCCCCCATCTCCTGAGTCCTCTTTAGAACCTTCTCTGTAGGCTCCTGGACTAAGGTTACCAGTAACAGAGTAATAGGCATGACCTCATCTGCCCATGCAAAGCCCTCTGGACTCCAGTGGGTGATTGTCCACTTCAGGGACACTGTAGCCTGGGCACCTGCCATCTCGGCCTCCCCAGGGACACACATCATGGCGACATCTCCTTCATATACATGAAGTCTGAGTTTGTTTCCTGAGACCACTGACAAGCAGGGACTTCTGAAATGAGTGGTCTGGGAGGGCTTAGCAAATGGAAACTCGGATTGGTCCTACTGAAACCACTTCTTGTTTCAGCTCCTTCCTGGGAGGCTTGTCAGCAAGGGCCTTTGAGTGGAAACTTGAGTTTCCAAAGGTCAGAGATGCAAACTTCACAAGCACAGCTGGAGCCAAGCAGCTGAGGGAGCAGTTATCTGGGGCTGCAGCTGGACCAGTTCCATTGCAGGGATGGCAAAGCCAGGCTTGGTCTTTCCTCCACCATCTGGAGCTTCGCAGCCAACAGTGTTTCTGGAAACCGAGGTTCACTCTTCCAAGGTAAGAAAGAAAAGAAGAATAGGGAGCTGTAGTCCATGTGTTGGGCGTCACAGAGTTGTGGGGGAAGGTGGCAATGGGGCCTCTTCCATGCTCACTTCAGGTCAGGTTGAAACCCGTGATGCTCTGAGAGAGCGAGGTGGTGAGAGCCTGGGCTTTAGGATCAGCTCTGCCCCACGTCCCGGGTTTGCATCTTACTGGTTGTTTACCTTGGCCAGGTTGTTTATCCTCTTAGGTATTTACATCTCAATTCCCTCATCTGAATCCCCTGAGAATTATGTCTGCATTCCATACTCTTACTCATACTGCATTAATACTCTTGGGAGTATTAAGGACATAATTTCCACAGTGTCTGATTCAATAAAAATTGCTTGATAACAACTATGAGTATGTCAAATATACCCCCGTATCTTTCTGGTGCTTTAACACTTGCAAAATGATTCCACGTGCATTGTTCCGTCTGATGCAGAGCAGTCTTGATGGTCTCCACTCTCTCTGGACCCCATCTTCCCTTCTCTCTCAGAAAGGCACGTTTGCCCATTTTTCCCTCTCCTTTCAGGATCCATCATCAGGCCAGTTTTCCTGTTAGGTGCCCCCAGTAACACTGCCTTAGACACAATCGGTCCCAATGGAAACACTGGTGCACGGCTCAGTCTCCTCCTTATTCTTCAGTTTTTTTTCCCTCTTTTTCATGTAAAGGGCCACCTTCATCCTTAAAGTGCACAAGTCAGTCTCTTTTAGCATACTCTATTTAATTCACCATCTCTACTCATCTCTAAGTCCATGTCCTCAGTGTTTTTCTCCTCAGGATCCTGAGAGGTTGCTTACAACTGAGCTTCCAAACCCTGACATCCATTTCCTCTGGGTCTTGTTCCTCCTCACCCTCCACCGCTCTCAGCATCTCCTCCTGGGCCCTGGAGCTGCCTGGTGCTCATCCTTCAGGTGATGGTGTCATCTGAGGAAGGAGGAGAGATCCATGTTCTCAACTGGAGGTGGGGCAACAAGGAGCGCCCTGTCGCTCATGGACAGGTCCTACAGAAAGTCTCAGTGAGGGTCAGGGGAGGCGTAGCCCTGACAAGTGCCGTCAGATCTTGGGCTATTTAGTTGTCTTCTCACCCTCTAGCCTCTCTTTTCCTTCTCCTTGGCTTCCCCAATCCCAGCCAAGACTCAGCCTCACTGGCTCAGTCGCTCTCTTTCCTGCTCACTTTCCACAGGGGCCTGAGCATCACACCAGGCTCCACGCCAGGTTGTTTGGCCACGGATAGTTTCTTAGTCTGTTCAGGCTGCTATCACAAAAATTCCATTGACTGGGTGACATAGAAACAGCAGAAATTTATTTATTGGAGTTCTGGAGGCTGAGAGGTCCAACATCACGGCACTGGCACCTTCGATGTTTGGTGAGAGACCCCTTCCTGGTTCACAGAGACCGTCTTCTCGTGCCACCCTCACGTGCTGGAAGGGATAAGGGAGCTCTGTGGGGTCTCATTTATGAGGGCACTAATCCCATTCATGAGGGACCTGCCGCCCAAAGGCCCCACCTCCAAACACCATCACACTGGGGATCCTGTTTCCACAGAGGAATTTGGGGGAACGCAAGCAATCCTTCTCTGGAGATACCGTTAATGCTCTTTGTGTTATCCTCACCCGCCTCCTCCTGGTGTTCCACGGGGTTTCTCGCCACAGGGTTTCTCCTTCTTCTTGCACTTCTAAATTTTTTCCAATTTCAACTGACCAGAATAGTGATTAGAATGTCATATTCAATGTCTCCAAACCCCTGTTTATTCATCTGTTCAATTAGAGAAAAGAACACATATGCATAGATGTATTTATATTGTATGTCATACAGTCTGTGTATTTTGTGTGTACCTTTTATAGGGTACATATGTGACATCTATATATGCAAGTTTTGTAAACTCCCCTGCTTTCACCCTCCCCCATTTTTTTCTGTCCTATGTTTTCCCGTGCACTCTGGTTCTGCGTGATCTCTACAATCTCCTTCCTGCCAGTAGGACAACCTCTGTCCATGTGATTTCCTTCCCTTTGTCTTCTCTACTGAGACACTGTCTTTATCAATTCTGTTTTTCTTGATATCTTTTGGCAAATGGGAGTGTGTTTGCCTCCTGACCATCTCATCACCACTGAGCACTGTAAGAAAGATCGACAAAAAAGAAAATATCAGTGTCTGCATTGGCTTCACCTCACCCCCACGGACTTTCAGATGGCCGTTGTTGTTCGAGCCACTTTCCTTATTCGATGTCCCTCTCGGGTGGGGAGTAAGTCACTGTAGGTGGTGAATAACTGTGGATCCTCTCGGCTGTGGTTTTCTTTTCAGAGCTGGGTTTGGACGCATCCCTCAGGATGAAGACCCCTCCCACGCTGAAGGGTGATGCTCTTGAGTGTTCGGATGCCAGCAAGCAGTGGTGTCAAGTCGTTGGCCACATTGATGCCTCAATTGTCATCCAACCGCGGATTCTCAAAAGAAAACTGCGGCTCAGCAAGTGGAGAGTAGCATGCAGATTCCCTGGCCTTCAAGCTTAGGGTCCAGAGGTGATTCCATCTGGGGCTCTCAGATGCACTTATTCCTCAGTGCTCTCTGTCTAAGCTCATAGCTCAGTCTCCTGCTCTTTTTTCTCTCCCTTGTTTGTTCTGTTCAACATCTGGTGCTACCTCTGTCTGGTCTCACCTCTGTCCTCCATGGGGGCTGCCACTGTGCCAGGCCCTTCCATCTCCGTCTCCTGTTTGCACTCTGATCTCTGCTGTGTTTCCACTGCCGCTGTCCTGATATTCCCTCTCACCTTTCCTCTTAGCCAAGGGGAAGCCCAGCCCCATGGTCCTCCTCATCACAAGAGCATCTTTGAGCCACTGAACACATTGCCCTTTGTCTGAAATCACACACTTTCTTGGCTTCTTTGCCTTCCCTTCCCTGCTTCCCCAACTCCACTGCCTCTTTCTTCTGGGAGCGTTGTCCAAACGGATCACTTGCACATGGATATTCCTCCTGTGTGTGTTAGGGAACCCGACCTAGGACAACCCTTAACCCTGGACTTCTCCATGTGAATAGGAAGTGTTGAAACTGAGGAGAAAGAGCCCCGATTATAAAAACTGAACGAGTGGCTGGGTCATGGCCAAGTGGTTGAGTTCACGCGCTCTGCTTCAGCAGCCCAGGGTTTTCCCGGTTCAGATCCTGGGCACGGACCTAGCACTGCTCATCAGGCCATGCTGAGGCAGCGTTCCACAGCGCAGAACTAGAAGGACCTACAACTAGAACATACAACTATGTACTGTGGGGCTTTAAGGAGGAGAAGAAGAAAACAAAAAAAGATTAGCAACTGGTATTAGCTCAGGGCAAATCTTTAAAAAGAAAAAACCTCACTGAGAGCCTGGGTGGGAGTGCTGGACTGGCCTGGAGTCGGGGTTTTCCCTCAGCCCCAGGTGTGCAGGCTTTGGCTGGTCTGCATGGGGCTTCCAGGGACCGAGTGTCCCCACCTCAGGGCCTCCTCGGAGCTGGCAGTAGTACTGCCATGTAATAAGCAACTGGGGACTTTTATTTAGATGAATGCCTTGACCTCACAACTCAAGATTCTCGTTTAAATGCTCTGGGGTGGGGTTTGAGCTTCAGTATTTTTAGAAAGCTCACAAGTGGTTTTTATGCAGCTAGAGATAAGAAGAACCCTTTGTCTCCTATGACCTCAGGTTCAGCATAGAAATGTGCCAAACATTTCAGTGCTTCATTGAAATGTCTGAGTATCCGTGAGTCCTTGATGGAATTGTATTCCTCTCTCAACTGTACTATCCATATAACATGCAAGAAAATCAAGAAGAAAAAGAGGTAGATGAATGGATTAGACTTAGAAGAACTCTACTTGGAAAAGACTTTCTCCAACTTTTTAGAATGCAAGATAAAATGAGAAATAAACATTACATAGAAACCCAGTTTACAGATAACAATACCTCCCTGTTACAAATAACAGAATTTAGTACTTTCTTTAATTTTTTTCTTTTCTTTTTTTTTGGTGAGGAAGATTGGCCCTGGGCTAACATCTGTTGCCGATCTTCCTCTTTTTCCTTGAAGAAGATTGTAGCTGAGCTAACATCTGTGCCAATCTTCCTCTATTTTGTATGTGGGAGTCTGCCACAGAATGGCTTGGTGAGTGGGGTGTCTGGCCATGCCTGGGATCTGAACCCGGGAACCCCGGGCCACCCAAGCAGAGGGTGCAAACTTAACCACTATGTCACCACGCCAGGCCCTTCTCTCAAATTTATAATGTAAAACTTGAAGTTCACGTTCCATCAAATTGAAATCAAGTCCAATGGGTTTGGCACTACACTTGGAAAATTTTACTATTGATCAATTTTTGTTATTAAGTAAAATCCTCAAAGAGAACCATTATATTCATTCCCCTAAAGAAAATATAATAGTAAATAAATTGAACGTTAGGAAAAAGAGTTAGGTTTATGCTTCTTTATGCCATTCTTTACACTGGCGTAAATCCTAAAAAGGAATCTTTCCCGAGGGAGTGCTTTGGGGGAATCAAAGGGTGGGTGGAAGAGAACCTAGTCAAACCAGTTGCCTTATGTATCCCCTTCAGAGACCTTCTGGTCTAGACCTTGAGAATATTCCTAGCAATGCCCTAAGGTGTATCCTGGTGTGGAATCCACAGGAGGACTGAAGGAAAAGGAGTGCATCCATGGTTATACTCCTTGCTGTTTTTTTTGCTAATTCCCTTGTGAGTTTCCCCTTGTGGGGTTCTTCCTCAGTCCCTCCGGAGAATATTTCTCTGTAAAGCCTTACTCTCGTCCAGCCAAGGTGACCCAACAGTATCTACTTCCTGTCGACACCTCCGGACTGGAGCCTTTCCTCTCACCTTCCCCGAAATGGACACAAAGGGAGAGGCCTGAGTTCTGGCCCCAGGGTTGTCAATAACAGCTCAGGTGGCTTTAGTTAGGCCTGAGCCCCCTGGCATCCCCACTCCTCATCGGTAGAAGGTGGAACTGGATTTGGATATATTCTGAGGTCCCTGTAGGCTCTTACATTCCCGACCTCTTCCCATCGCCTGCCTTTCTTCCTCAGAGTACTGGGACAGAGAGAGAAAGAGGGCGTGCCTCTCTGCCAAGGGTCCTCTCCTTCCGACAGCAGTCTGTTTCTGAATGTGTGTGATGGATGCTGAGCACATCCCTCCCTGGGAGGTGTGAGACAACCATCCCTTTGCTCCAGACGAAGGGGATTCAGGAGTGAAGTGGCTGCTGAGGACAGGGTGGTGGGGATCTGGCTAAGGCTCTGCAGCAGCTCTGAGCTCAGACGTCACCAGCTCCTGGTGGGCGAGGACAGGGGTCCCTGGATCCTGCACCGCAGACTGGATGGAAGTTTAGGGAGCCGCCTCTTCTAACTTTGGATCTCACTTTCCCCTTCAGCTCCTCCTCCCAGTAGGAGCTCAGCTTGCTCCTGGCCTCTGTCACCATGTAGCCAGCCCTCCAGGCTCAGCTCGCAGCAGGACCTGACAAAGACTCACACTGGGTTGTTTTTGCTCTCTCTCTCAGATACCAAGTACTTCTGAAACCAAGAAAAGAAGAAACCCCATTATGAAAAGTCGCTTTCCCACTGGATGAAACACATCTAAAACAGCCAATCCAGTTCCAGCCCAAACAGAACACCAGAGGGATCCTTTGCTGAGAATCCACATCACAACCGCAAACCACTCTCCAGGATGTTTACTCCAAAAGCCTGCTTCGATGGGAGCAATCCCAGCCCCTCAGCCTCCAGTTGTGGTACATCGCGAAGGAGCCCAATGCCTAGATGCACACACGGTTCTGAGAGACCTTAACCCTCGCTCCTCTCAATTCCCATCCCCTACGTAACCAGAATCAGGAGCAAGTGGGCAAAGACAACGTGTCGAACCGGACGTTCTTTGCCACCACCAGGGCTGTGCTAGGAGCAGACAGCAGTAACCGTGCAGTGTTCTTGTTGAGAATGCGCAGGCTGAATTTCATCATGAGGTCGTTATCAGACAACTGCAGAATGTAGACCATTGAACAAGACGACTGGCCTTTCTTCCAACAGTCAGTGCCACCACAAAGACGACGACAAAGAGGAGAAGAGATATTTTCGGTTCCTAAGGACTGAAAGGATTGTGTTATTGTGTTTTTTTAGTCCTTTGGGACCAAAAATATCTCCTCACCTTTTTGTGGTTGTCTGTGGTGGTGGTGACGTGGCCTTGTTTGCAGGGGACAGGTCAGTCGTCTGGCTCAGTGGTCTACATTCTGAAGTTGTCTGACCATTTCCTCATGATTAAATTCAGACTCACCCTTCTGCCAAGAACACTATACAGTTAGTTTCTGCTGTGAGCGTCCTAGCACAGCCCCCTGGAGACCAAGGATGTCCAGTTTATCCACCACCGTTACTGTGTGACTAGCATTGGTCACTTTGTTCTGGAGGGCCCACGAGATCGGTTCATTGTAAAGAGGCATTTTTTTTTTTCTTTCTATCGTTAGCAATTTGGTGAGTGGTACTTTGAGAGTGTATGAATATCCTCTTCTCTAAAGATCTTTCTCTAAAATTTTTTACCATCGTTAATGAGCCCTGCTGTGTGTCACTTATCGTATTCCTGTTTGTACATGGAGATTTCCTAATTTCGTCATTCCTCTATACTTGTAGTTGCTGGCACAGTGCTGTGGAAAAGAACTTTCCCTCCCCCTTTCATACCGTTAAAGTTTCTGTTGTGACTGTCACTGTGGACTCGTGAATTTTTTACATTCATTAGCATAATCCATTATACTCAGGATTGATTTTGTTGGATATGGATTTAAGTCAATAGAAATATTCTTGTTCCTCCTGTTCATACTTATGTGCTAACGCTTCCCCCATGAATAAAATTTCCTCAGTCATCTCTTATTGGGTAGAGTCGGTCCTTAAAAGACTTCCCATGATGGAATCAGGACTCCCCGGGGGTTGCATGTTTAACTCTCTTGTTCTGCTGCCTGATGCACGGACAGCTTGGCGGAATGTAAAGGACTTGCCCACAATGACTCTTATTCAGTTTTTTAAAAATATTGTCTTGCTCTGTATGTTCTGTTGAGATGGAGAATGTAAATCCATTTTCTCCCAGTTGTATGTGAATTGGCTTTGAGGGGTGGGGAACTTTTGGAAGGTCTGGAACTTGAGAGGAATTTGTTTTTCTTTTTTTCAAGTCTTTTAGTTCTAAGAGGATAGAACTTGGAGTTGACCATTCCAGTCTATTTCTCCCAGGTATCTATGATTTTCTCTCTGATCCTTTCTCAATATCTTTTCTTCACATTTGTTCTGCTTGATACTTTCTTTATTCAATGTCTCTTATAATTTTGAACAAATATGTTGCCCTTATGAACCTTGCCATTTAGCCTTTTTTCAGAGAATTTTCTTTTTCTTCATTTTTTTCCTTGGTTCTGCCAATTCTAACTTCTCATTTCCTGTTTTGTACCCAGTTCTCTTTTGAGTATTTCTTATGTGAAGTTTTGTTTCTTCGTATCCACAAATGCTCTGTCAGGAACATTTCATTCAGTTAAGGATGTCATTTTATAGTGATCCTATGCTTGCTCATTGCTTTTGAGGGGAATTGTTTCATGAGCTGAACTCTTTGACTCTCTAGTTCTGGTTTTTCCTTATGTCATCTTAGAACACCTGTCTGCTACATGATTTTCCCGTTAACATGCTTAGGTTTACTGAACGAGAAACAAACATTCTCTCTAGGAACGGATGAGTGATTTGTTTGGCTTAGTCCATTTCTTAGGTCTGGATCTCTCTCTTTGGTGCAATTCATCTAATAGACGTGAGGTTTGGGGATAGGCGGGCTGTGTCTTCTGGATTTGGGGAATCTATTTTCTTCCAGTAGGACCTTTCATTTCTACCACTTGCTTCATTCTTTCCTTCACCACAAGCCTCCAAAGACACTACGTCTTCTTCCAGATCTCTCCCTGGCCCCAGCAATTGTACCTCCCCAAGATTGTCACCTCTGGTCCTCTGCACTGTGGAAGCCCTTCCTTTCAATTCCCCAGCAGCCGGAGCTGTGGTGGCCCTGGTCTCAGGCCTGCTCTGAGTTTATGACAGTCCCTTTCTGTGGAGGACTTCCCTGTGTTCCCTCCTGAGCAGGCCCTCCCTGTTGTCCTCTCCTCTATGTGCGTGGTCTTTGCTGATCCTTCCCTTGCTGTTTGGCCCCCAGACCTGGCTCAGGGAAAGCCAATCGAGTCCACAGTGTTCTCTGGCCCCTGGTGGGTTGGGTGCAAGGTTGTGAGTGGTGTTTCGGACTCTTGTGAGATAATGGAAAATATCTTCTTTGCTCCTGGTTCCTGGCACAGAACTCCTAAAACCTTGGTAGTTTCATCAGTGATAAGAAAGGAGCATCTCTTTTGCTAATATTTGGTCTTTGACCCCATCCCTGACACAGGGCTCTGAAACCCTTGTAAATCCCTAAATGACAGGAGCACCAGGAGCAGCTTTTGTTCTATTGAGGTGACTCTGGGTGGTCTCCTGGATGGCTCCTGGCTAGGGGTGACCACCAGAAAGACCCAGCCATGATTAGATGCTTGGAATTTTAAGCCCACACCCCACCCTCCAGAGATGGGACAGGGACTGAAAATGAAGTTAATAATTGACCTTTCCTATGGGAAGAAGCCTCTAAATCATCCCAGTAGTCAGGGGTTCGGAGGTCTTCCAGGGTGGTGTACATATTCGCACCAGGAGGGTGAGGCAACCCAACTCCACGAGGACAGAAGCTCCTATACTCGCGACCCTTCCGGACCTCACCCTATGTATGTCTTCATGTGGCTTTGCATTGGCTAACCAAACCTGAGGAAGGGGTTGTGGGAACTTCTGCTTTGTAGCCAAGTGGGACAGAAGTTGTGGGTAGCCTGCGGACCTACTACATGCAATTGGCATGTGGAGTGGGGTGGGAACATTCTTGTGGGACTGAGCCCTTTATCTGTGGGATTTGACACTATCTCCAGGGAGACAGTGTCAGAATTGAGTGAAATTGTGGGACACCTAGTTGGTGTCCTGAAGAATTGCTTGGTGTGGGAAAAAAACCCACACATTTGGTGACCAGAAGCGTCAGAGGTGAAGTGTTTTGTGTGGCGAATAAAGGAGACACACGGGAAAGAAAAACACAGGAGGAATGAACTGGGTTTTGTCTTTTACAACTCTCCATGTCAACTCCTAGTCCTTTGAAATAATGCTGAGAAATTCAGCTGCCGTCATCCTAGGTGGACCTGTACTCTCTACCATTCTTTTCAAACGCAGACTTTCTATAGTACACAGAAATGGAATTCTACAACAGAACATCCCCATCTTCATCAAGCAGCTTCAACAATTATCACCTGAAGGCTGAACTTGTTTTAATACAATCCCACACTTACGTCCCTTTTCCTATATTATTTAAAGCAAATCCCACACATCATGTTCATCTGTAATTATAATAGAATGTTTCCCTAAATGATGACTCTTTCTGAAAGTATTATCATAATACTATTACAATTATTCAGTAAATAATTTAAAACCTTTAATATGAAATAGACAGTGTTCAATTATCCCATTGTTGTTTTTAGGTTGGCTTCTTTGAGTCAATATGCAAAAAAAATCCACAAACTATGATCAGTTGGATATGTCTTTAAGCCTCTTGCATATACAGTTTCTCCCTCATTCTCTCTCTCGCTCACTCTCTCTCTCTTTCTCTCACTCTTGTTCTCTCCTCTTTTGTCAATTATTTGTGATGAAACTGAAGTGCTTGTTCTGTAGCATTCCCGCAGTCTGAATTTGGCTGATTTTGTACCCGGATACACTTGAACACGTTCCTCTGTCCTCCATACAGTGCTGTCTAATAGAAAGACAACGCAAGCGCCAAATGCCAAAAGTAATTTAGTGAATTTAGGGCCGGCTATCTGGCTCAGTGCTTAAGTTCCCACGCTCCCCTTTGGTGGCCCAGGGTTTTGCTGGTTTAGAGCCTGGCACGGACGTGGCATCACTCATCAGGGCATGCTGAGGTGGTGTCCCACATCACACGACCAGAAGGACCTACAACCAAAATACACAACTATGTACTGGGGGGCTTGGGGGAGAAGAAGAAGAAGAAGAAGAAAAAAAGAAGATTGGCACCTGATGTTAGCTCAGGTGCCAATCTCTAAAAAAAGGAAAAAAACTTAGTAGCCACCTTGGAAACTAACATGTATGAGCACTCAACAAAACAAAAGGCTCATCTTGTACACTGCTACTGTTGAGGGAAATAGTTCTCCCAAAGTTATACAGTTGGGTCTAATAAAATAACATTTTACCTGTCTTCAGTTTGTAAGTTTACATTTAACTGTTATAAATTCAGTGAAATTAAAATTCGGCTCCTCTGCACCCCTAGTGACATTCCAAATGTTCAATAGCCACACGTTTCTTGTGGCCACTGTGTTGGATCCGCAGATGCAGACACTGATCAGATTCATGTTTGATAAGTTGACAAGACTTCCTCAAAAGCGGTGTGTGCTCTTCCATCGGGGACACATCACGTCCTGTGCGCCTCTTCTAATGGTGTTAGCAGCCCTTCATGTGCAAGGCCCAGATCCATTCAGTGATGACGTCGAGCAACTGGTGATATTCCATCGTCAGGTCTTATTACCTGGGACACTTGTAGAAAGAGAAACTTCCCCTAAATAACTAGTTAGTTATGGAACAGAACAGTCTGTAAAGAGGCCTGCACCTTAATGAGCTGGTCCCCTAGCACCCTCGGTGGTCACCAGTTAGCTTCCTTTCTTTTTCTTTTTCTGGGTTGCTATGAACTCTAGGATTCAGACACATGGAAGCAGTTCAATCCATTGCAATATGGTCCTTACTGATGCTCCAATTATCCTCCCTTTCAGCAAAGAATGTGAGTTCAAGTTGGCCCCTTAATCCTTTTGATAACATGCTAATAATCTCTGAGACCTCTCCTGATATCAGTTTGAGAAGGTGTTTCTATCTCATCTTGAATATTTACTGCTCCTTCCTCAACTCAACCATTTCTTTAACAAACTCTGGTTTCTTTTTGTGCAAAATGGTCTTCCCAGATCCAACTGTGTATCCTAGAGGTACTCATTGCCATTCATTAGTTTCCAGTGGACGGAGCTAGGAAATGCACATTTATGTTCATATGTATTCATGTACTCACGTATATTCACCAACACTGCCAATTCTAATTTGGAACTACAGGGTTTTTTTCTTTTTTTGCTGAAGAAGATTCACCCTGAGCTAACATCTCTTTCCAATCTTCCCCCTTTTGTATATGAGCCACTGCCACAGCATGGCCACTGGCAGGGTACGTAGCGTAGGTCCCATACCCGGGTTAGGGCTGAAGGCCGAACATGGCCAAACTGAACCACTAGGCAATGGGGGCTGCCCCTATCGGGATTTTATCGACTGTCTATCTTTCACCTGAATCTCCTTTCTCTAACACCAAGCATTTTTTGTTTTAAAGGACACCGGGGGTAATAAAATTAGAATATCCCAAAATGTCTCATTTACTTTTTCCCCTCATTTATATAAACAAAAGAATACAGACAATAGCAACAACACCACTAATAACACGCTTGAGGAAAGTGGCTTCTGGTTTTGTCACTCTCTTGGAGTATAGATAAATTATTGTGTTTGAGAGTCTCTTGGAAGAGTTCTAATCCACATGGTTCTTCTACAACAGGGATACATAGTTGGGTTCATTTGTTGCATTGTGTTTTCAATGTCAAGAGGTGAAATTTCTGAAAATTTCATTTAGTTTTATAGCTACGTCACAATGAATGTAGAGGGGCTGCCCTGTGGCTGAGTGGTTGGGTTCGTGTGCTCTGCCTTGGCGGCCTGGGGTTTCGCTGGTTTGGATCCTGGGTGTGGACATGGCACCGCTCATCAGGCCATGCTGAGGCAGCATCCCACATGCCACAACTAGAAGGACCCATAACTAAAATACACAACTATGTACTGGGGGCCTTTGGGAGAAAAAGGAAAAATAAAATCTTAAAAAAAAAAATGAATGTAGATTGCAACTGAAATCTAACCAAACA